TTGTTTGTATAGGAAACCCTCGGCTTGAATTCCCCAAGTTGTTTGGTGGAAGAAATTTACAGAGAAAAAATATGTCAATAGCATAATCTACTAATTTTGTTCTACGAAATATTTCCTGCTAAACAGTTATATTAAAACAACACCTTATGAATTGAAAAAAACTAATGGAATTCTTGACAGAAATTCAATAGAATTTTCTGATTTCGACATTGGTCATTTGAAGGAAACTAATGGAATTCTTGACAGAAATTCAATAGAATTTTCTGATTTCGACATTGGTCATTTGAAGGTTGAAGTGTCATTGGAAACTCAATCCTGAATTAAAGAAAGACGATCCGTTTTGCACCAATAGTTTTCGAGATATTGGAATAAGGTGGCCAGAATAAACTGCGTCGAAACCAAATCAATTGTCTTTTTCCAAATTCTGGATGAAAATGCATCGAGAATAATGTTTTACTCCACAGATTTCTTCCTCCATGCACATCACTATTACCTGAATTGGAATAAAGTGTTCTCTAGTGTTGAAAAGTTGAATGGAATACGTGTGAAACTAATGATGCCTTGAATAATGTAGAAATCAGTGTCAATTGTACTTTTCTGAAGTTATACAATGCGCAGAAACAATTCATTACCCGTCTCTACTGTATGAAGTTATGTGAAATTGCATGTTCCGCATGTTACTGCAACTGATTCAAGAGATGCTGACGCTCATTGGCGGTCTCATTGTCTTCTACTTCGTCTACATATTTTTCACCCGGAAGAATGGTAATTTTTACTTCTTATAATTTTCATTGAAACCAAATCACTCAATTGACGATCGAGTTAATTACGAGTTAATTAAAACGCATGATACTATTTTAACCCTCAACAGGTCGCGCTTTTCTAGTATCTCACTCGCTCTAGAGTGGCGCCATATAGGTTGCGTATGGTTTAGCGGGGATTCCCGCACGATGCCACCACTTAAGGGTTAATAATTATGAATTCTTTCTCGCGAAAATTACTCAACTCTGAAATGAGCACGTAAATTAGTTTTTGTTCGTGGATTTTTGTCATTACTCTCGTGCTTTTGAAACTTTAATCCAGAGATTTAACTACATTCCATGGGAGATTGCCTTCCTACTCTGACAAATACCACAATGAGAGAAGATCTAATTATTCCGGACGTTCAATTAGTACCCATGAGAGGGTATAAGTCGCTGGTTAATTGGGGAATGGGAATTTCATGAAAGCCAGGAAGACGTGCTTACCGATGTACAGGCCTTCTTCTCTTGCTGATAGTGTTTTCCTGCTGGCAATCTTTTGCGTATCCATCCTCCTACAGTTAATTTTTAAATTACACGATTATCATGATAAAATTAAATAGCAAAGAGGTAGAATAGCATGAGTTTGTTTCATTTTGAAGTCAATGTTTATTTGGAAAAAATCTTGAACGTGTAAACAACAATCAAATTAACATGAGATTCCTGCGTATTTTGTTGTTAACAAATCTAAAGGAATTCCTATTGTCAGATTCACCGAAAATTGGGAAAATCGAGACAGTTATTTTTTTGAATGCACAGTCTATTGAAAATTCAAGATCGCATTGATGAATCAATGATTGTTTGACCCGAAGAATATTGAATAACTTTGAAATCCCATAAAAATCGTTTAATTTTAAAAAATGAATGAGAAGTTTCAACGATTTGGCCTTCAATTTAATTCAAACTCACAATATTGAAAATGCAGACGCAGCCGTTATTTCAATTTCAAAAAATTCCAACGCTTTCCGTTTCCACTTTTCGATCTATCCATCGTTATCTTCCGCTACGCCTCCACGTGTTAAAATGACAATATCAAATATAATTTTCTATATTGAATGATCTTATCAAGATAATTGAATGTCAGCGGGCGGCAAATAGAAAGAATCCTAGAGCGGCGGTATGTAAACGCATTTTTGAAGATAATTATCGTCCGATAAATATTTATTGATAATTTTCAGTGAAAACCTATAAATTTGAAAACTCGCACAGAGAAATAAGTTTGGATTTTCCGGGACACGTCACTGATTTCCACGGATCTATCCCGAATTATTAGAGATGTGTGATCTTGAAACTGAAATAGCGCAAAATCCTGAAGTTCAGTCGCTTTATCACTGAATGTCAGTGATAAAAATCACTAATGATCAGGTTTATTCTAATCAATATTCACTATCACCAATAATTAGTGATAGATTTTTTAAAATCAGTGACATATTCCGGAAAATCAAACTTCTTGTCCTTGTGTGCTTCTGACGAAATTCTGACGACCATTCATGCAAAAATTCAGCCATAAATTTCCGCCAACCAAGGAGAGAAGCTCTTGCATGCAAATACACGTGACTCCATCACTCTTGCGCCGAAGTTATCCTTCACCTTTGAATCCGCAAGACCATGAGTTAGAAAGCCCGATAGACACATCCGCAAATGCATCATTTCATTGTCGCAAAATGCACGCACGATACAAACAATTATCGGCTTCTAATGGCTTGGGAAAATACCGAGACCCACCTACCGAGTGACACCGTCCTTCCCCCC